TTTAAGTAACTTGACAGAATCTGTCTAAAAACTGATTACATTACCAGAAGCGAGGGAGACCCTGTCTCAAAAAAAAAAAAAAAGAAAAAAAAGTGCCCCAGTCAAAATGCTGGCACTTGCACAGTAGATGGCAGGGGGGCAATTAACCCAGAAACCTGTTGGGGGTTACTGCAACCCCGTTGAGGAAACTAGACGCTATGGTAGATTGTACAGCTGGGGCCACGGAGGTATAAAGAAGTGGATTGTTCACAGGAGTAGTTTGTGTTGGATTAAATGTGCTGGGTTCTAGCGCTGATGTCTGCAGGGGGCATCAGAACTGGGAGAGGAGTAGGATTGCACAGGGAATTTGCATTTGTTTATATTGCTTTTTGAGACAGGTTTACTCTGAGCCCCAGCTGTCCTGGAACTATGTAGACCAGGCTGGCCCTGATCTCAGAGATCCTCCGGAGTGCTGGGAATAAAGTCATGTGCCACCACACCCAGCTTGCATGGAACATTTGGGAAGGAAAGGGAAATGCACTATTTTGGATATAGAAAGTTCAAGGTGCCTGAGTTATGTAAGACACTGAATAGGCAAGCTCAAAGGAAACATTCCAACAGAAACTAAAAATGTGGCTGTTGCCTGCATTGTGTAGATAAAAAAAAAAAATTGGATAATAAAGAGAAAGGTTTATTTTGGCTCAAAATGTAAAAGGTTTCGGTCTTTCACTGGCCCTGTTGCTTTGGCCTGTGAAAAGCAAGACATTGTGGTAGGAATCATGATGGAGCAGGACTGCTACCTCAAGGTAGATACTAAAGACCACCCCACTGCTCTAGTCTTATTGAAGGGCAGGCTCCCAAAGACCCACAAACGTCTTGTCTAGCCAGCTACACACACCTGCAGTCAGCATGCAGGATGCCAACAAGGCTCTGGGTCCAGTTCTTGGCATTGCAGAAACTGGGTGTGCTACCACACACCTGTAATCTCAACACTCAGGAGGAGATACTGTTATACAAAAGCACACACAAAGATCCAAGATAAACTGGGTATGGTGGCAGGTGCCTATAGCCCCTGCTGAGGAAAGACGATCACGTGAGTCCAAGCAGACTGTACACGTGGGCCCCATCTCAAAAAGAAAAAAAAAAAACTACCAGCAATTTAAAAAAATATTATTTTTATGTGTATGAGTGTGTTGCCTGCATGTATGTGAGTGCACCCATGTCACGCAGTGCCATGGAGGTCAAAAGAGGGCTTTGGATTCCCCTGGAACTGGATTTAAGGACAGTTTTTAGCTGCCATGTGGGTGGTGGGAATCAAACCAGGTCCCTCTGCAAGAGCAGTCAGTGCTCTTAATTGCTGAGCCATCTCTCCAGCCCTACCATCAGCATTTTAAATATGGGTCATGTAAGCCAAAAGGATTCTATTTCTATTCAAAATAAATTTTTAAGTGTTTTATTATTTTTATTTATGTGTAACTATTCCTGCCCACCCTAAAAAAAAAAAAAAAGATGAATTACTATTCTCACTGGTAATTGAGCAAACTGGAATATAGGTTAAATAGTCGATCTTGCTTTTGGTGCTGAGAATTCTGAGTCACAATCCTAAATTTATTTTGGTCCCACACCTACCAAGTGGTAGAGAGACAACTGAAATACAAACACTTTGATTCCACAGCCCATTTCCCCTTTTTTGAAAAATTAAGTTTTTAAATACTTAGTGTGTGACATAGATATATGTGGAGGAGCACACCTGATATGGCCTGCATGTGGAGGTCAGAGGACAACTTGCATGAGTTGGTACTCTCCTTTCACCACATGGGCACTGTGGTCAAGCTCCAGTCATCAGGCTTGGCAGCGAAAGCATTTACCCACTGAGCCATCTTGCCAGTGTCCGTAGTCCATTTCTTAACCACTACATTGAATTACTCTGAAAACTGAACTTAAATACAAATACTCTATACTTCCAGGATATCAAGTGGCTGTGGGATGTGGTAGGGTTCCAGGCATGTAGTTGAAGAGGCATGAACAGGAGCCTTGGAGAATACCAGTTCTCAAGACACTCACTTTACAGGGAGGTGACTGAATCTGACTTAGTGAGGGGCTGAACCCTGATTAGAAGGTGGATCTTGAGCTGGGGATGTGGTTCAGTGATAGAGAACTTATCTGTACTGTGCGACGTCCTGGGTCTGATCCCCAGCACTGAAGCAGAGAGGAAAGAAGGGAAGGAACGAAGGGAGGAAGGAAAGAAGGAAAAAAGGAGTGCTGGCCCTGTATATGTGCCCCATTAACTTCAGGATTCTTTTCAGGCTTTATCCTTATTTGTGGGAGCAAATTCTAAAGCCCTCAGACAGCATGAGAACTGACCACGAAACAGGAGTAAAATGCGACATAAGATTGTTGATTCTTAGTTTATTCTATGTGTAGGCAGTTCTGATACTCCTACACCATGCTATCCACAAGTTTACTTAAAAAAAAGGTGCTGGGGATTGAACTAAGTCTTGTATATGTTAAGTACATCAACACTGAACTATACAATGGAGTCCAAAAGTTTACAGTTCTTTGTTTTTGAGATGCGGGTACTTGCACTGTTGCCAGGCTGGTCTTGAGTGGGTGGGCTCAGGTGGTCCTGTGGCCTCTGCTTTCCAAGCTGCTGGGATTCCAGGCATATGACACCCCTTAAGGCTCATTTTTTTAACCTTAAAACTTTTTTGAGTTTGAGTATTTGCAAATATCTAAGCAGGGTTTTTCTTATATTATTTATTATAACAAAGGAAAAACGCTGATGGATGGAGGCTTGTATCATTTAACCTTGCTGTTCTGCCACGTGATTGGACTAGAGACTGCTTTGCAGAGGATGGTCAGATCCAATCAGATCATGATCATAGCTCAGAAGCCATAAGCAAGGTTGCCCTCAGAATCTAAAATTTCAGGGTTGCAGTCAGGATCAAATGCATCACAATGGCAAGTCTAAACCCATGAATCAAGCTAATTACAGGAAGCAGTAAAGATCTGGAATGCGGCAAGGAGAAAAATGGGTCTCTAACTTTGCATTACTCAGCTTTAGTCACCAAGGGACCCAGACATACTGTTCTGGAAATTCTTAAAGTACTCTATGCCTGCTGTGCTCAATAAAGGCAAATAATTTTCATAGGCCTCAGTATTAAAAATTTATTTTTATTTTGTATTTTGTCTGCATGTATGTAAGAGCACCATGTCCATGCAATGCTCACAGTTGCCAGAAGAGGGCATCTGATCCCCTGGAACTAGAGTTACTGGTGGTTGTTAGCTGTGGGAACTGAACCTAGGTCCTCCACAACAGCAGTTAGTGCTCTTAACTGCTGAGCCATCTCTTCAGCCCCAGCCTCAGTAATTTTTGAAGAGCAAACCAACTCCTTCCTGCATCTTTTTATGCTTAGACTTTGTTTTGAAGATATTCAATCTAAATACCCACTATGATAAAGAGATTAGGATAAATATGTATCACAAAGTGAAGTTAGAAAGAAGGGAAGACACATGACAGTGTTCAATAAATATAAGTATTTTTTTTTTTTTTTTTTCCTTTTGAAGACAGGGTCTCCCTGTAGCCCCTGCTGGCCTGGAACTTGCTGTGTAGACCAGGCTGGCCTCAAACTCACAGAGCTCTGACTGCCTCTTGCCTGTCAAGTGCTGGGACTAAAGGTGTACGCCACCATGCCTAGCTTAAATATAGATATTTGTATAGACATTTTTTTCTTTCCCCCTCATGTAGCCCAGGCTGACTGGAACTTATACTATGGTTGGACTGGCCTTAACCTCTTGATCCTCCTGCTTCTATTTCCCATGTGCTAGGATTACAGACGTGCCACCATGCCATGCTAGATATATCCTTGACAGCAGAATTAAAAAGGCTTTCCATTTCATGTTTATTGTCAGTGCTTCAACACAGAGTATTTGTAACATTAGTGATGTGGAAACCAACAGTTTTTTCAAATACCAAGTGACAGACTTTTTCTGGCAAATAGTGATTCTTTTTCTCCCAGACAAAATAACCAAATAAAACACGAATTCAGGAGATGGGTGATATTGTGGCCACACTCCACCAAATTACAAAATGGCAGTGCTCAAAATCATGCAGATTATTTCCCCACTGATAATGCTTCTTTTAAACGTCTACAAGCATTCCTGGTGCAAAACACTCCTTATAAACTGCATGATAACAGCGAACTACACAATTTACTTGGAAAATCAGGAAGTTACTTTTCTATTTTGGCTTTAAAACTTTTTAAAAATTGGTTTAAAAATGTGGTGAGGAGCATAGTGATGGAGCTGGGAAAGGGGGCTTGTAGGAGGCAGATTTAACACGATAGTGATGGAGGTGGGGAAGGGGGCTCATAGATGGCAGATTCAACATGCCTGAGAATGCTTCAGCAGGCAAAGGAGGAAAATGCCAGGGCAAGAACGAAGTATAAATAAGTCTCGGCAAAACGGCCAGCTCTGGTCTCGGCTTCACCCGTGGGAGAGAAGTCTTCTTATAAATGGCTGGTTTACAGAGTCTTCTGCAAAATAGAGTTCACCACCTCCAGTGATTCTTCTTTTACTAAAACAATGTCATAAGAGTCCATGTATTTTTCTAAAAGCTCATCTACCTAGCCAACAAAACAACAAAAAATAAAATTAACATGCAGAGAAAGGTAAATAATTTCAGCTTTAATCTCATGGTATTAGATTCATAGAATAAATTAAATTCAGTCTCATAAAACTTTTGAGAGGAAAACACTTTCAAACTTAAAAAAATATTTATTTTTATGTATTGGTGTTTTGCCTACAGTGGATTTAAGTGCACCCATGTCAAGCAAACCCTGAGGAGGCCAGAAGAGGGTACTGGATTCTTTGGACCTGGAGTTACAGACAGTTGTGAGCTGTCATGTTGGTGCTGGGGATCAAACCTGGGTCCTCTGCAAGAGCAGCTAGTGCTCTTAATTGCTGAGCCATCTCTTCGGCCCCTCTCAAACCTTTTTAGAGGGAAATAATTTTGTTTCTGATTAACATTTTAACGTTTTGAAACAGGGTCTTGGTGTGTCTGCCAGCCCGGTCTCCAACCTTTGGCCCTCCTGCCTCAGCCTCCTGACCACAGGGATCACAGGTGGACATCACCAGGCCCAGCTACTCTCAAAGCTTTAAAGACTCACTGACAAGAATTTTTCCACACGGTAGCTTTGTACAAAGTATACTTGGTCACAAGTGGAGACGTTTTGACACTCACGACCAGGGCACCCAGCACCGCCTGCTGCCTGCAGCACGTGCACTTCCACGTTTAGCTCAGGCCTGCCAAAGTCCTAGGTGAAACGACTGCACTCTCACATGCCTTTGGCAACAATTATCCATAAAGTTTCATAAATTTTTTGGAATGGGGTCTCCCTCTAGCCCTAGCTGGCCAGGATCTCACAGAGATCAGCCTTCCTCTGCCTCCTGAGTGCTGGGATTAAAGTGTGCACCACCACACCCGGCTCATCATAAATGAAATTGCAGATCTCTGTACTCACTCTGTCGTTGAGATAACCGATTTTCAGAATGTGTTCCACGTTGGCTACTCCATCTGCCATCCTCAGGTCCCCCTGGGAATCTCCCAGCAGAATTATGTTGCTGTTGTCTTTCAGTTGGTTGAAGTAGTCTGTATTCCTCAAGGCACCGTCGTGTTTATTGAACACATGAATTAATTCTCCTTTAAATCCTTTGAGTACTCCCTATTAAAAATATAAGTGTTTTGATATAACAGTTTAAAATTTTTTATTACATTTATTTATTGGTGTGTGTATGTGTGCAGGCATGTGGGTCATGGCACACATGTGGAGGTCAGAGGACAGCTTGCAGGAGTCAGTTCTTTCCCTCTACCCTGGGACTCTCAGGGTGGAAAAATCAGGTCATCAGCCTTGGTGGTAAACACTGTTACCTGCTAAGCCATTTCACTAGCCAGAAATAATAGGTTTTACAAATTCTCCCTGTTAGATTTTTCACGTTTTGTAGTTCTACTTCATATTTGTAGATATCTTTGACATCATCTCAAAGCATGTTAAGTCTATCATGCTCATGATTGGTAAGAAGGGTTCCAAAAAAATATTTCATTCTCTACTAACCACTTTAAATGGCAAAACACAACAAGAACTTAACTCTTATTGTTCGTTTTGTTCCCAGTCAAAAGATTCCATTTTATGCACTTTATTGCTTTGGATTTTTGTTTTGTTTTGCTTGAGTCAGGCTCTCCTGATGTAGCCCAGGCTCTGAACTCAGGTCTTCCTAGCCTCAGCCTCCTAAGTGCTGGGGTGACATCATCCTTCCCAGAACATTTCACAATATACTCCTTCAAGTAATGTCAGTTCTAATTCACTTCCCTTTCCACCTATGAATGTAGCCTTCTGAGTTGCTGCATTGTTACTTTCATAGAAGTTTTATGAATTTTATACTAGCTCATTAATTTGTGAATGAAAGTTTAAGAAGGGCACAGAATACAAATAGAACATGGGGAATAATGAATGAGTCCTATTAATAGTGTATCAGCCTTGTCTAATATGAGGAACATACACTAAATAATAATAAAGAGTAAGTGTGTTTGGTTTACATGACTAAAATAGTTCAGGCTGTAAAAGTAACCCTGGGAATGACTTCGTACTCTTACATTTTCATCAAAATCCATGAAGTTGGACACCACTCTGACATTGGAGTGATAGACTCCAGCTTGACGGATAACTTCTTCTAGGACATCACCAATGCCGGCTGAAAATATGAACACAGGGATACTGTGCTGCTGGAGTCTGCCAAAGAAATCCTCGTACCCTTCCCTGAAAGATGGAGGTGCAAATGATTCTTAGGAAGCAAGATGGATCTCTGTTTCACTTAGAAGGTATAAAACAGTATTTCTTCCTGAGTCTGTGAATCATATTCTCACTTCAGAATAATGACTAAGAGCTGTTGACTCCATCCTCCTTTTAACCTATCCCGAGAGTGCTAGCTAGATGTTTTTACCTTGTACTGAACATGGGAGGAGCCTTTGATTTCTAACTCCTACCACTAAGCGAGGGATCAAAGCATACATACCCTGCAAAGCCCAGGGGCTGAGCTGGAAGGCTGTCTGCTTGACATCCGGCTCTTTTGCTTTTCCTATCCCCAGGAAGACAGCAGCAGGGCTGGCTGCACCTCTTTCCACCTGCCACCTCTCCTTTCCAACACCTTTTATTTATGTATTTAACGCTTTTCAGTTAGTGTATCATAGTCACTAGACCTTGCTCCCTCACCCCTCCCAGACTCTTCCTTCAGGGGATGGCCCCTTCTTCCCACTGAACAGCTACCTGCTTTCCAGTCACATGTACAGTTCCATTTAGATGCTGAGTGAGCAGATTCACAACATTTTGTTTTTCGTGTTCACTCCCCTCCACTTAAACTTCTTCCTCCCTTGTAACTACTTTCATATCATAAGCATGTTAACATACAAATGTGCATTTACATTTAAATCTAGAGTCCACATGAGAGTAAGCATGCTGCTTTTCTCAGCCTGGCTGATTTCACTTAACATGATTATCTTCAGTTCTATCCATTTTCCTGAAAATAACATAATTTTATTCTTGTTCTTAAGATCATAAAACCTATTTTTCCTTTATTAGCTTTAAGTTAAATTAGGTGCTACTTATGAGTAAAACACTCAGCTGACCTTACCCTCTGATAATCTAATACTTTCTTTAAAAGTAATCACTTGAGCATCCTGGAAAAAAAAGGTGATGGGGGGTGGGGTGGGGTGTAGCTCAGTGGCAGAACAGATAACCAGCATCTGAGGCCCTAGTTTTGATCCCTACTGTGGGGGGGGGGGGGGGGGTTTTCCCTCTTGGGGGGGGGGGGGGAGAGCATCACCATATTTACCAAACAAGTTGACAAATTTTACAGGGTAAGTAAACAGTACTGAAAATGAGCTTAAAGATTTTCATAAATTAAATTCTCACACTATGTGTGTGTGTGTGTGTGTTTCTGGTCTGGTGACCAAATTGGCGTCCAGCTTGTGTGATGATCTTCCTACCTCTACCTCTGCAGTATTAGAATTACAGGCATATGCCACCATGTGTTAAAGAATCTGCTTTGCAAATATTTTAATTATATACTAAAGCACATTTTCCTTTCCTATAAACATTTTTGAAAGTATGAGAATTCAGAAAGGAGATCATATAATTTAGAAACAAGACTCAGTTAAATCCTTTCTAACATAAATATTCCCTTCATATTTCAAATCTTTCAAAAGTGTTCTATCTGCTAAATATTTTTAAAAAGGTATTGGTTGAATAAATTTGTGTATTAGTCTTAAAAGTTTAATCTGGAGAAAGGATCAGTAATTCAATTGAATGCTATTACCGCCCATACCAAATCTAACATGCTTTTTTTGAGATAAGGTTTCATGTATCCAAAGCTGCTTCTAGACTTGCTGTGTAGTCCAGGTTCCTCCTGCCTCTACCTGCTGAGTGCTGGGATCAGTCATACACTGCTATGTTCAGTTTTATTTAGTGTTGGGGATGAAACTCAGGGCAGTATGCATGCTAGGCAAGCACTCTACCAACAGTCCTCTAACAGGCCTTTTTAATCCCACCCTGCTACCCATCCTGTGACAGACGCATGTTTTAAGTGTTCTATGGAATGGTGTGGTAGCTTCTTGTACTTAAAATACACAATGGAATACAGAACAATAGTTCAATTCTGTAGACAATAAAAACAGTAAGAAAATCCAAGAGACTTACTTGAGCATAACATCAGACTCTGCCACAATCTCTTGAAGTTTAGCTTTTGGTATGCCTTGTTCAACAAGCAAACCATGGGATTTAGTATACCTGGAGTTTATGACCAAAGGGGGTTAAATGTCAATTAGAATGTTACTATTATCTTTATCGCAAAGCATTCTTCAGTGTGGGTCAGTGACTTGTGTTCCTCAGGATGTGGACTTAACTCTGAAACAGAGACTGAACTGCGTCGCCGCTGGCTACTCCACACACACTGCTGTTCCACACAACACACACATACTAAGAGTCCACATATACTAACGTTCCACAAACACACTAATGCTCTGACCTTGCAATGCATGTTCTTACTCCCTCTAAAGCCTCACAAAGGCAGGTTTAGGCATAACATGTTAACAACAATGAAAGCAGACATCTGTACGCTTTCGTCAGTCTATAGGCAAAACTAACTCTAACTTACGGTGGCATGCTCCTTTCTCTGACCAAAATAAGCTTAGTCATTTTTCATCTATTTGCAGTATAAATTTTCATGACATGTCTTAAGTACTGGAATGCTGCCCAGTGAAAAAGGAAACTCCTTGGTATGAAGAGTGTTGCATATGGATTGGCTTCCTTTATAGTTATAGAAGACACTTTCAATCACAGCAGCACAGTAATGGCATTTAGAATCTAACTTTTACCTTTACAACTATGCAATCCTGTCCCCCAACAAAGAACCTAAATCTTTGCCTAATAACTACACCACATAGTATCTGAAGTGGCATCCTCTTCCCTCAGCCAGTCTCTCCTCTTCTCCTTTTTGGAGACAGCATTTTGTATTAGCCCTGGCTGGCCTGTTAATTCATTGTATATCCCAGGTTGGTCCAAACTGGAAGCAGCCCTCCTTCCTCAGCCTCGTAAGTGCTGGGATTTATAGGTGCGCACCACATGCCCAGCTGCCTCGGTAATGGGAGACTGTTCCATCCTCAGAAAAGTCTCATTGCAAGGTAATCCTTTCTTTCATCATGTACAGAAATCACTCCAAGTCTTCCAAATCTGGGTCCAGCTTTGATTTTACAGGTGGGTAGAGAAAGTCTTTTTCAACTTTTAATTTAATGCTTTACACATGGATGAAGTGTGAGTGTAGCACACTATGGACCCTCGGAGCTGCTAGGAATATTCCTGGTCTGTTAATGTTGTCCTTTCCAAATCAAAGCATGCTTGAATGAGATGGCTGGTTCCTATGATCACCCTGTAGACTTCTCTGCTCCTCTAAGTGTGTTAAGATTTATTTTATCAGTATTTTCCTTGAGTCACACACACAGCTCTCAGTGTGGTCAACACGAATGCTGCATCTTGATGAACCAACAGCTGAGGCCCTTCCTTCACGGGTCCTCTGCTGGGTGAAACTCGGAAGAGAGGCAATTTGAATCCTAATTCTTTTTCTTTGTACATTAGATCACATCTTGCCTCTATGACTTAATGTGAAGATCTGGCTTTTAAGACTTACATGCCAGATTTCAAATGTATTCTTACTGAACTTAAATCCTAGGCTGTTAATTCACTGCTAGAACTGTAGAATCTATTACTCTATTTATACACAGTTCTGTGGGGGCAAACACTAGTTTTAAGCAGGCTTTTCCCATTTCAATGCTCCCACCACTCAAGATGTACTCACCACTCTACCATATACGGAAACTTCTCTTCTACGGTGAGACCAGGATCAATTTCGATGGCGTAATACCGTTCCTTTAACTGCACTAACTAGAGGAAATGAGTAACTTTAGGAAGATTATACAGTTTTGTTGCTTATCTGTTTCTTATGGAAAAAAACAATGCCAACCATCAAAAACACTGGAAGCACCTGTTTATAAATGGCTTTAGACGTGACAATGAAAGGCGCTTCTGCTGACCTTACTTTACACAGGGTTAGACACAGCTGAATGAAGCTGCTTCGCTTTTATTCTCAAGTCGGCTTAGTTAGCAGCTGTTTACTGTGCCCTTAGAAAACAATTTCGGCTTAAAAAAAAATTATTTTAGGGTTTTGTTCCGGTACTGGGGATTGAACCTATGCCGTCCACAATTAAGTGATTGAGGTGACTGGTCACTGGGATACCTCCCAGGCCTAGTTTGACCTTCTATTTTGGGGCAGGTTCTCTGCTAAGTTGTCCAGGCTGGCCTTTACTTCTTAATTTTCCTGCCTCAGCATGAGTGGCTAGGATTAAAGGCCTGGTGACAACTTTAGATGTCAAAGTAATTAACTGTGATTGACACTGTAAGCCTTATTCTGTTAAGGTTCATAGAAAGTAGACACTCAAGCAATATCCTGAGTAAACACAAAACCAAGGTCTTTTTTTTTTGAAACTTCTAAGTTAATGTAAGGATCCTAGAGTATTCTAATAATAATAATTTAAAAAGTTTATTGTGCTGGGAATGGTGGCATAACCTGTAATCCCAGCACTTGGGAGGGAAAGAGGAGCAGGAGTTCAAGGCTATCCTCGGCCACAGGAGACCTCACTTAGGTTTGGCTAAATGAGACACTGTCTTGAAAAAAAAAAGTTACAAAACTGTAATTCATACAATAAACCTAATATGGTGGTAGATGGCAAGGTCTCACTGTGCAGCCATCCTCCCACCTCAGTTTCCCCAGGGCTGGGGTTGTAGGTTTGTGCTACCATGCCTAGCTTTTGATGAACTGAGGCGATGAATTATGTAACTGCACTTGTAGTTAACACTCACCTTCTTTCGACATTCATCTGTAACGAGCTTACAGTTGTCAATGATATCTAAAGAGAACAAAGAGGCATCATGAGATAATATTCCAGTTGGCTACCACCGAGGATGATTTGCTTCTTTAAGTTTTGAGAGCTAGGTGAACTACCATGGTCACTGGTCTTAATGCTGTCATTCAAATGGCACTGCTAGAGAAATTGGTTTCAAAACCTGAGACCTATTGATTCCTCACGTACACCACTGAGCCAGACCATTAAGATCTTCACAATAAATTCTATGCTATTTCCATGTTCATCTTGCTTTTTAATTAAATAGAAGCAAGAAATATATCTTTTCCTTTTCCTTTCTATTTTTTTTTATTGTAGGGTCTCATGTAGTCCAGGCTGATTTTGAACTTCCGATCCTCCTGACACCACTGCCCGACTGGTGGGATTCATGTATGTGCCACCATACCTGGTCCATACCTGGTCATGGAGATCAAACCTGGGGCCTCATGAGTGCTAGGTCATCAATCTACCAATTGAGCTACATCCCCAGCCCTGAAATATACCATTTTCTTAGGGATAAATACTTAATGTAAAAGATGTGGAAAGCATCATATGACATTAACAGCCATCCATTAACTCCAGTTCCAGGGCATCTATCTGATCCCTCTTTGGACTTCTGTAGCATTGCATGGCACGAATGCACCTACCTACATGCAATACACCCATACACGTTAAAATAAAAAATAATACAATTAAAAAATAAATTAGTTACGATTGGCTCAAATCACGTATGATTTTTGAATTCATTTTCATTTTATGCTGTGCTCTGTACTTTCCAGTGTAACTGAAATTCTCCTTAGTACCACTCACAATGGTTACAGTAGAGATGGTATGTGGGAAGCACAGAATTTACATTACTCTGTAGTGTCATTTTTAGGTTGATCCTTCCAAGCTTCTCTCATTAAATTTCATTTGAGATTAGAGATCACTGTTTTTGTGAATAAAGCTTTGTTTCTGTGATGTTGGAGATCCAATTTCGGGCTATGCTGCTGAGCTACATCCTTAACCCAGAATATTTGCAAAATGTTACTTCTTTAGGTTACCCCCAAATTTAGAAGCTCTTAAAGTATTTCTTGAATAGTGGACCACACATGGTGGGGCACGGTTTGAAGTCTTCACTCACTTCCTTTGCTCACATGAAACGTGTACATGAAAACTGCCAGCACATGAAACCTCAAAGCATAACAAGAAAAAGCAGGTTTCTTCACTTTCAACATCCAAAATTAAATAATTCCTAGTCGTCACATTGGTAAAAGAATATTAAAACATTTATGATGCTTTTGTTTGTTTGGGTATCACACTTACTATGACATGTTGGACATCTTTTCCCATTGTAGGAAAACCTGCTTAGTGTCATATCAAAGTCTGTGATTATCTGTAAGGAAAAGGAGAAGGCATTACATGTACATGCACACCACAGCAGGGATCTCAAGCGGGCTTGTACAAGTACAAACATGCACTGCTGCTTTCTTGAGGCTCTGCTTGGTTCCTGGGTACTGTAGGTTATTAGCTCTACATTAAAAATTTTCTAACAAAGTTCATATAATTAAACTCCCAGGAATGATGAGCTTGTGGTGGTTTGAATGAGAATGTCCCCCACAGGCTCCAAGTATTTGGACATTTTGCATTTTGTCCTCAGTTGGTGGCTCCATTTTGGAAAGTTTTAGAAGATGGGGCCATGCTGCAGGAAGCATGGCACTGGGGACGGGCTTAGAGAGTTCTTAAGCTTTGCGGATCTCCAGTCTCCCTCTTGCCTCCCATGGCTGCTTGAAGATGTGAGAGCTTAGCTTCCTTCTCTCCTCCAGCCACCACCACTGCCATGCCTCCCTGCCATGACAGACTCTTGCCCTTTTGGAACTGTAAGCTAAATAAACTCTTCCTTTTATAAGTTCCCTTGGTAATGATGCTTCTATCACAGCAACAGAAAAGTGACTAATACAGTCCTTAATAACAAAGTGGTATCTTAAAAACTCTCTCTCTCTCTCTCTCTCTCTCTCTCTCTCTCTCTCTCTC